CACAAGCACTAGAATCTCTATAAAGAGACCTCAATGCCTGTATCAAACCAGCGCTCAACCCATATGAGTTCAGTGTTTGCCATAACACATTCCTGTCCACTCTGTCATAAGCCTTTTCCAAGTTCATGAACGCACAAAAAACTTTCTGGTTTTTAGCCAAAAACTTCTCCGCAATCATGCGCAAGGAAAAGACTTGATCTGTACACCCCATACCCTTTCGAAAACCCGCTTGCACATCCCAAATTTTTCCATCAGTTTCTTTCATAACTCTTTCAATTAACACCTTAGCATACAGTTTACCCACAGTACTAAGCAAGCTGATACCACGGTAGTTTTTGCAGTCCTGCTGTGACCCTTTTCCTTTATATGTTGGTACTATAACTGCTTTACACCAGTCATCCGGTACCCGTTTTAATTCCCAACACAAATTAAACAAGGTGTACAGCAGGCCTGCCACCACTCCCTCCACAGCCCTTAGCATCTCGGGTGATACTCTATCATATCCAGCTGCCTTACCTGCTTTTCATTGCTTTCATTATTTCATCTACACTTATCTCCATACCCCTTTCCACTTTTTTCGGAATTTCTTGTTCATTTAATTCAGACGACTCTTCACTCATAAACACGCTTTCAAAGTATTCCTTCCATCTGTTTAAATTCGAAACTTCATCATTCAGAATACATCCATTCTCGTATCTTATAGCATAAATTATAGGCTGTTTTGTATTTTGTACAAAGTGTCATCATCCCCTTTATTATGTATAGGGACAACTTTAGCGACCTTCCACATATCTGGAAAGCGTCCTGTTTGTAAAGGTTTGTTATATATATAATAAAGAGGAGTAGATAGTTCTACGGCACATTCAGCGATGTAGTAAAGTGAAATAGAGTCTGGACCAGCTCCTTTTTTTCGGTCTAAGCCCTTTAATTTTTTTAAAACTGATTTTTCATCCAAAATCAAAGTGCCAAAATGATAATTATTGTTATCTAAATATTTTAAATACTTACTCGTCATTTGAATCATATTCATCAAGCCTGTTAGGATTGTCCACGGTGTATACTGAGGAGAAATGTGAGGTAAAAATATTGCATATATCACACCCATCTGTTATCATTACACTACCATTAGTCATTGCACTCGGATACTTACTATTCCCATGCCGTTTAGTTTTGATGTAAGACTGTGAAAGTCTGACGTGACTGACGGTGAAAGTGTGAAATTATGACGGTGAAAGTCTTGCTGACTCTTTGTTGCTGCTGGCAGCAGATGATGACTGGTGATTTTTTTAATTTGATACTTTATGTACATCTTATGAATAAACAAATTGTTAAAAATTACGTTATTATTTATTCATAGCGAAGTTTTGACATTTGGGCTACTTTAGGCTACCTCAGCTCAGATTCGGCTACATTAGCTAAATTCTGTTAAATATGACGATATCAGTTTCCAAGATGTTGGCAGCACTGATCAGTTCAAAAGTAGGGATGTCGATTCTTTCCCAAAAAGATCGATTTTTAAATTTTTTGAATTTGAATCGAAATCTGATTACAATTGACAAATAAATAATTGAGGTCTAAAAGATCAATTGGTCAAAAATCGATCTTTTCTCGATTTGCTTTCAGATTCATAGAAATAACACATTACAAACGTTACTTTTTTATTTTTGGAGAAGTGGAAACTGAGCGCAGCAATTTTGCTAGTTTTTGAATAAAAAAAAAACTTTCGTTTTTAAGAGTTTGGGTTCATTCAACTAATTGCAAACAATTTCATAGTTCTTATGAAAACAGAAAAAGATTCAATCTCAGTATTTTCTAGGGTGAAGTATCGATTCACTGGAACGATTCAGCACTATATATTGATAAAAATCGATCTTTTTGGTTTTGGCACAAGAAATCGATTCTTCGATTAATTGATCTCAGATCGACATACCTATTCAAAAGTCAACGTCAAAACGTATTCTCTAAATTGCACCAGATGTTTTTTATTGTTTATAATTTATATAATAGTTTGGACAGCTTTGAATAAGTGCAGCTGCAGGTGCAGTCTTTCTAGTACAGTCATTTTACTCTTTAGTGCAGTCAATTTCGATAACGTTATGATTACGATGTAAATAAGATGTCATAACGTGAAATCGTGGAGAATGAAAGTTATTTCATCAGCAAACCGAGAAAGAAAATTTTAGGAAAAAAACACAGATGTAAAAAAGAAAGAAGTTGAACCTTCGACATTGTATGTCATTGTTTCTAATTTTATAATTAGTTTATAACTAGAGTTTTTCAGTATAGTTTCATAACTTTTTTATGTAATCATGAACAGAATCAAGAATTATACTAGAATGCCAAGGAATAGTGAGGGCGCCAATGAGACCAATATGCATGCCGACGCTTGTCACCTCATCGCAAATACAAACAATCCTCCAGATAATAAAAATGGGAGAGAAAATTCATGGAATGCAGGAGTGCAAATGTTCGTGTCATTCCTACTGGCTGGTTATGGAATGGTTGCGGCCAGTTTATTGCTAGATCGGGTACAGCATTGGAATGTGTTTGAGACAGTCCCTGAAGTATATATTTTGGTACCGGCCCTTCTAGGTTTGAAGGGTAACTTGGAGATGACATTGGCTTCACGGTTGTCAACACATGCACATTTGGGGCATATAGACAACAATCTAAGTATATTAGTTATTGGCAATTTATGTCTCATTCAATGCCAAGCAGTACTTGTGGGATTTCTGGCTGCTATGGCAGCAGTAGCCATGGGATGGATACCAGACGGACAGTTCGATATTCACCATACAATGTTACTTTGTGCTTCAAGTGTCTTAACAGCCTCATTTGCCAGTTTGGTTCTTGGTTTGATAATGATTGGTGTTATAGTACTTTCAAAACATATGGACATAAATCCAGACAATGTAGCTACACCAATAGCTGCTAGTTTAGGTGACTTAACAACATTAGCATTGTTATCATGGATAGCATCTTTATTACACACTTCAATTGGTACCAGCATAATATTGCCTACTTTTATTATTATTGGTGGTTTAATTTTAGTACCAGTATGTGGATATATAGCGTATGAAAATAAGTTCACAAGACAAGCTCTAGATGAAGGATGGGTGCCTGTAGTATCTGCAATGGTTATTAGCAGTGCTGGAGGCTTAATTTTAGACTATACTGTTTCAAATTATAAAGGAATTGCCGTTTTTCAGTTAGTTATAAATGGAATAGGAGGTAACATGGTTGCAGTGCATGCATCAAGGCTTTCAACATCTCTGCATACTGGACAAAAAGAAGAGACTGTTTTAAGCAGCACTACAAAACTTTTATTGGTGATGGTGATCCCAAGTCAACTAATTTTTATTCATACTATTGAGTATCTAAAGGCCGGTCATACTTCATTAACTCCAATATTTATTCTCATTTACATGTCAGCTGCCCTTTTGCAAGTATTTCTTTTATTAACAATCAGTCACTATATGGTTGTAGCAATGTGGAAGCTAGGTATGGATCCAGACAACTCAGCAATACCATATTTAACAGCTTTGGGTGATCTATTAGGCACAGCATTATTAGGCATTGCTTTCCATATCTTATTCGCTATTGGTGATAAAGACAGTGATTTAGGTGACTGAAATGTGTATTATATTGTTTAAAATGTACTTAATGCTCGAATTTTATTACCCACTTAACATATAGGTACTTTTACAACTTTACATCTTTTTGCCCTGTGCCATTCAACTAAAAATAAATTCTTTCTCTTATTTCAAAACATTATTTTTAAATTTTTGCACACTGTATTTCTCATATACAAAAATATATTTGTGGAAGTCTACTTGGTGCTATTAAGTAAGAATACATATCAATAAATATTTTTACAAATTTGATGGAATGTTTAATTTTACCAAATGTTACACCACCTGGACCACCATTGAAGATTTAACTCTTTTAAGAACAATATTGGTCTTGTAAAACCTTGCCCATTAAATGAAGTTATATATTGACAACTTGGTAGTGTATAGTGGTCAAGTATTTGATTGTCCAATATGGAATACATATGTAATATATCATTTTATTGACTGATGAAGATACATTAGAGTTATCACATTTGTAAATATTTACTTGTTTTTTACTGATAAATAACACCACATTAGAGTACCTGCTGCATTAAGCTTTTACCTATGCCGTAATCCCATTGCAGGTACCCGCAGCACTTATTCAATTCTTAACCGATGCACTTTTGCTGCAGGATCCCCTATTAACGCCGCTACTATTTGAATGTGCTTGTGTTGACTTAATGGATTATCTATTAATTTATTATTGACCAGTATTTAAAATAATAATGACAACACCTACTTTCCTTTCCTTGCAACATCAATCTGTAATGTGTAAAAATCGGCCTGTAATATGGGATATAATAAACGAACTCATACAGACAGATACTAGTCATTAATAAGTTAATCTGATATGTATGCATTCACAATACATTGATCATTTGTTTCATTTGTATGAAAAGTGAAAACACCCTGGTGTAGGATCATGCCGTTGAAGAATCGATCACACAACTTAGCAGTGCACTTTTAGGATTTGTTTCTCAAGTTAGGTACATGGCATTTTTATATGGGTTTAAAAATATTGAACTGCAAGCAGATCTACTTGCACATATACAGATTTATGACAAAATCAATCTTCCCAAACTCCCAAAGCAGTGTTAATTACATAAATAACATTTTTCAATGTAGCAACAGGCAACAGCACCATAGACGGCTGCATGCTTTCAATAATGAAGATAACCTAGTACATTGTTTATCATTCTTTATCTTAAGCCAAATGTTTCTTGAACTCAGTTCATTTGCAATTCATAAATAACAATTTTAATTCTACATTGTAAATGTTTAGATATGATTTTAAAATGAGTAGTGTATGTACTATGGGCATGGGAATATAAAATCAAACAAACATTTTAAAATTTTTTGTTTATTAACTTAGTGTATGTGTTTTGTTTACTTGACTTCACGTAACCTCCTCACTGCTGACCTACAAGATGAAGCTGCTGTGGTAGAGAACACCCAGGCACCTCCAGCCACTGTCCTCTTGCAACGTTTGCAGGACCAGATACCAACACAAGACCGTTTCATTGCATCCTGAAAATATAATAATACAAATTAACTGTCCTGACTCAATTATTTATTCCATATGAGTGTAAAAGCGGATGTTTTATTGGTATTAATTAGCCTCCGCTTTACTAAGTATTGTTGTATGGACTTGCAAGTCCAACAGAATATGAATTTTGCAAGAGCATACTAGTATTGATTGACGAATATAATCAAGTGCTTTTGATTAAAGAAGTTTAGGCAAGAATAGTTTTAACTGAAAAAAAAATTGGTAACAAAGATTTTGCAAGAATATGACTTGGTTAAAAATAATTATGACTAAAACTTGTAGTTAAAATCTTTAGTAATTTAGTAAAATACATATTTTACAAAATTGAAAAAACAAAGTAGTTTTACACTGGTTGACCCTTCAAACCCCTTAAAATTCCCAAGAGGTCGCATGCATCCATCAAATCCCGAGCAGTTGTATGCGATCGCACCCACCCATAGCACTATGAACTAAAAAACTTACATTTTGAGACTACTTTTCTATGAAGAAGTTTGCCATTATAGAATCTATACAAAATTCTGTATTTTATAGTCTAAACAAAAGTCAGTTACTCTATGGATTTTCATCTATAGAGTATATATTATATATATTCTTCATAGAAAAGTAGTATCTAAATTTAAGTTTTTATGGTTTAAAGTGCTGTGGGTGGGTGCGGTCGGATCCGACCACTTGGGATTTGACGGAATATCGCCATGGTCGGATCCAACCAAAGGTGTTTGAAAAGTAAAACTAGTTTTTGATAATCTAGCATAACTAGATTAGAGACATGTACTTTATTCTATTAAGAAAAATAACATCAGCAACAGTAAGTTGAGGGGCGACTGAGGTGGCCCTTGGGGCTACTTCTCATCATCTCCTCAATTTCAAAATTAACTGGGTAGCTGATCTAAAGCTATTCCCTAGTTACATGACCCCCTATTATTGTTAACGGAAAAACTGATAGTAATATACTAGAAATGGAAATCTATCTTAATCTATTATAAAAATTGAAGCGGTTGTCTGTAATATTAAAACTTTGAAATATTTTTATTCTAATAAGCTCAGGGAATTATTTGCATGCAGTTGAGACATAAACATTTTTAAAATATTCGTCTGTCTATCAGCCCATGTTAATCTTCAGAATGGCTGAACCCATTGTGATGAAACTTTATGAACGTATAAAAGCAACACCACAGCATATTTTATCTGAAATACTTGCAAGTTAAAAACAAAATTAAATAATGATAAAATAAGTAAGGTTTGGTGATCTTAAGGCCGAATACGAAGAGAACTGGCGAAATTTAATGTATTTCTCTTCACTACAACTTTGACCTGAAGTAATTCTAGGCATTAAAACATTTTTTGTAGGTTTGTTCGGTTCCTTCACAAGGTGCCCGCATTTTTAAAATTTTAAAATAAATAAATATACCAACAAATAAAAAATGAAGAAATATATTTAAAAATGATTGTTCTTCCAAAACTCTGTGAATTTTAATTTAGGAAAAATTCTTTTATGTAAAAATGTTTGTATTGTGATTCCGAAGGTGCCTGCTGTCTTTATTTTCGATACAAAATATTATTTATTAACATAATCCGTTTTAATTAAAAACACCTAATAATAATATCGTATATTGCCAGATAAAAGTTTGCCGTAATAAAATACCAGGCGCCTCGTCGTGTGACGTAAGGTGACAACAGTTGTTGCGTCTGTAGCGAAAATCGTTAATTTAGTGTTTTATACGCGTTTAAGTGACTATAAATGTAAATATGGGTAGGAAAAGAAATAAATGTTACCTAAGTGGTAAAACAAAGAGAGTTTATGCATGAATGCTGCTCGAATGTTGTATTTTGAGGTTAATACTTATATTTTTGTAAGGTAATTTTTTGTTTGAGGCTGCCTAATAGGTTGCATTTTTACTCATTTACATTAGCCAAACTGATCATTTATACTTTTCTAGTTTCAAGTGAGGAACACTAAAAATGTAAATATCAAGATGGAGTCGGAAAAGAATGTACAGAGTAGTGCAAGCACAGAGACCGCAAATAATGTCATAGTCAATGTATTGTCCGAAAGTTTAGGGTAAGTACATAATTAAGAAAAACCGAAATACTTCGGATGTGAAGTGATTGACCAGTCGAGGTAGTCTTGTGAGAAATTACATACACAGTACCTATTCCCACTATCGGGCAATCACCGACTTTTTAGTTTTTTTTTCTTTATTATTTATGCAATTTGCATTACGGCATCTGGTAAGACACACAAGAACAAACATTTTCAGTTATATGAGGTTCTTTACGTACGATGCACCAATTAAGAAAAAAAAAATGTTATCAATTCAATAACTTTTCAAACAATATTTTATAACGAATTAAGTACAGAATTCATAATCTATAGGAACTAATATTATAAATAAGAAAGATTTATTTAAGAAGTAAGCAATGCTCTCTGTGTTGTTCATTACTCTGCATACTGAGCTAGCTCAGTCAAATATAAACAAAGCCTGCTTACGACTTTGATTATATTATACATGTCTATAAACAAAGCGTACGGGCGGCGCGTGGTTTGCTGCGAAACGAGCAAGGTCAATCGCGTCGTATTCGGCCTTAAATCTAAATAAGGGTTGGCTATAGACATCCGGTACTTGATTTTGATAATATTTTTAGTCTAGGGGGCTTGTTAGGGTTAAGCTTGAACCTATTACACTGTTTTTAGGTGTGGGAAATGCGTTTTGAACTAATTACGATAAAAACAAATTTTTCTAAAAATTGTGTAATAACGAAATGCAAATATGTCAATTTGTTCTTGTATTATGAAGTAGATATCCTGTACTTGATTTTTTATTTTGTTTTCAATTTAGGAAGATTGTCAGGGTTAAGCTAGAACCATTTACACTGTTTTTGGATTTCGGAAATGCCTTTTGAATTAATTACGATAAAAATAAATTTCACTAAAATAAAATTTACAAAAATAAATTTCAAAAAAAAAATTGCAATAACGAAACGCAAATATGTCCATTTGTTTTTTAACACAGATACACTCATAAAAAAGTTAATCACTTGGACCCAGACAATCCATTTGTGGCTGGAGACAGGAATTATATACAACAAATTGAGTTGCAGAGGAGAGCAGTCAAGAGGTTTCTCAGAAAACAAAGTTATAACAATTCACATTACATTATTTCATTTACCGCTATGATAGCAGAGTTAAGGGCAACCAGACTTTATAGATAAGATTGGTCAAATCGGTTCTAAAACCGAATTAGCATATCCCGACTCTACGTAGTCTTGTCTGCCCTACCCCTAGTGTTTTTGTAAATAGGCACCATAGGCACGGACGGAGAGCTGCCCCCGCTTGCTGTAGCAAATCGCAGGCACTTAAGTGAGCTGCGGAGGCGAGCATGGGTGCTTGTGATTTGCTACGCAAGAGCGAAGGGGCTGCACTTCCCGCAGTGCCAAAGCTATTGCAGAAGTAACTGCATCAATATTCCTATATAAAAAAGTGAGGTTATGATTTTACAAAAAAAATTATTACTTATAAATTATACATTTCTGCACCGGAGGAAGGGTAGGGTGGCTTCCCATGACCCTCCCTCCTCCCAACACCGTACCAAAGTTGCAGAAGTAGCTTTGTGTCAATATTCCTGTATAAAAAAGTGAGGTTATAATTTTACAAAAAAAATTATTACTCATAAACTATACATTTCCGCAACGGGGAAAGGGTAGGGGGGGCTTTTCATGACCCTCTCCCCTCCCTCCGCCCCCTCCCAACACCGTACACGAGAACCAGACGTCTATAGTTTAACCCTAAATAATATTAAAATCCTACTCATGTAAAGCCACGGAGGATTGCTAGTAGTATAATATTATTATATATAACATCATACACATATTTATACATCTTTCGGAACTTGAAGATTTCACATTAAAATTCCACCAACCACTTTAATTCAAAAATCCTAAAACATTTTGCATATATAAAACAAAATTGGGTTTAAATCCCAGGTCGGGCCAAAAATAAGTTATTGAGAATTTCTGCTAAGATATCTTGTTGCCTGATCTCTTTCTGGTTGTAATGGTATATCATACCATCGGACTTCCAAACTTTTACGAATTTGTTATGAAAATGTTATTACCTTTGGTAATTTAATAATGAACACCTAAGTTTTTTACAATGTTAGTTATTTATTGCCCAAGATATTACTTTTTTAACATTACTTTAAGTTTATATCACCATCGAAGCATTTATTTCATTTTGTTTTGTTAATATATGAAGACATTATCTGAGGTAAATATAAACTATAAAATTAGATATATATGAAAAAAGCAGATAATCTAATGGGTACATCTTCTATAACTAAAACAAACTGCTTTTGTTATGATAATAAATATGACATTACCTTTCCACAGAAAGAGCAAGTGTATTTAGCATGCTGTGTCACTTCCATTTTTTTGACCATTTTACGCAACGAAGCACCATATCGTGTTCCATATTTTCCGGTAATTCCAACCTTTTTCGTGCGTTTGGCCTGAAAACAACATTCGACATCACATACTTAGTCCAATTCAAATGAAAGACGCAATTACATAAATAGTGTTCAATATTGCGAAAACGTATCAAGTTCATTAAAAAAACATTAATATGGAGTTTAAGAAATAGTTGATTGCTAAGATTTTTACAAATAAAATTCCTCACCATTGTAAAATAACCTGCCTAACACAACAGTTGACAGAAAAAGAAATTGACAGTGACAGCTGTAAGCAGAGCAGTGATTGGTTGTTACCAAAGACCAATATAAATACAGAACCATAGATTTAGTATAAACTCCATAGATTGGCAACTACAACCATGAAGGTTAGAGAAGAGGAGAACGATCGCTGTAGAAAATATTGTCCCAGAAATATGGACACCATAAGTGAGGCGCTGCGATCGCTAAATTCAGTCAATAAAAGCCATTTTCAGTCTATTTTTCCGATCAGATGCCAAAACCACTTGCAAATCTACGCACAATAAAATATTTCTCCATTTTTAAATGTTTCTTTTTGTCAAAAATTACAAAATTACGGAGCATGAAAATATTATCACCAATGCCGCGTTGAAAATTTGTACATTATTCAATTAACTTCATCTACTTGTACTCATAACTAAGCTAACTTCGCAGTCACTACTCACCGACGTCAGCGCCGCTATAAGTTCTACAATTTTCAAGGACAGGCGGGCTATGTTTTGATACGTAGTGATCGTTCTCCAGTTCTCTAACCTACATGACTACAACCAACAAACGGGACTAAATATTATTCTCTGTCTACGTCATGAAGGCTAGAGAACAGGAAAACGATCGCTACGTACTAAAGCATAGCCCGCCTGTCCTTGAAAATTTTATATATATATATATTTGTTAAAATTTTAATTTAATATATTTGTAATAACTAGTTAATTAGAGTTCATCGAGCAAGTAGATGAGTTTGTATATTTGGGTTGCGTATTTAGCAGGGATTGGAGATATGATAAGGATATAGAACGACGAGTGAACGCAGGAAATAGAGTAAATGGGGCCCTACACTCTATTGTGAAGAGTCAAAATGTGTCAAAAAAGGCACGTATGGCAATTCACAATGCTGTGTTGGTCCCTACTTTAACGTATGGTAGTGAAAGTTGGGTGTGGCAGAAGAAGCACGAGAGTAGAATAAATGCAGTCGTTGAGGAGTATGTTAGGGCTGAATCTGAATGACAGGGTAAGAAATTGTGTAATAAGAGAAGAGTGTCTTTTGCAAGATGATGTTGTGACCAGGATTAAGAAAGGAATGCTTCGGTGGTTTCGTTATGTGGAAAGAATGAATGAGGAAAGAGTGTCGAAGAAAATTTATGTTGCAGAAGTGAACGGAAAAGTCGGAAAGGGACGTCCTAGGCGAAAATTTATCGACCATTAAAAAATGTTATGTAACAATTAAAATATAGTTTATTTAGTAATAAATAATAATAATTTCGTTATTTTCTTTTTTTTTCTTTGAATGATATTATTCACATTATACACAACAGTCCACGTTTATTTAGACGACTTAGCGATCGCAGCGCCTCTTTTATTTTAACTATATTTCTGGGACACTTTTTTCTACAGCGATACTTCTCATGTTCTCTAACCTTCATGGCATTAATATTGTTGTACCGTAATAATTTATCGATATAGATCAAAATGAACGTTAAATTAAATGTATCAATATGAAAGATACTGTACATATATCATATCCTTTCCTATTTTATATATAAGTTTTCAGATTGGAAACGTACAAGATTTCTAGAAAATGTATTTAGCCGGGTTTGTTTTATAGGTACAAATTTTATGTTGAATATCATCACGGCCTATTCATATTCCACTTCTGGTATGCCTATACGCCTTTTTTACTATAAGTCGGACGGGTTGGTGGGGCGTAGGGATTCGTTTGAGTTTTCAGATTTTGTATTAATTATGTTCGCGTAGCGCAGCCCTTTACTCCTCGTACTTTAAAAAACTTGCAGGTTGCAATGGGGTGAAGACATAAAGAATATACGAAGTGAAATTTCGCTGCAGGCAGAATATTAACGCGCAATCCTTTATCTCACACTACCAGATGCTAGGCCAATAAGCTACTTTTTATTAAAGTAACTTTTAGGTAAAATTTCTGACTCGATTCTTATAGCATTGCAAACACAATTTAGTGTAAGCGAAGTAATGGAAACCTTATAAAGGAAATGTTAGGACGAATAATATATTATCAAATATTACAATATTTCTAGGAAAATAAAAAAATACTAACGCCTAATACAATGATAACATTTGTAAGTTCGAACTACAGTAGTCTAAACACGCTTGTGTGTAGCGGATGTTCCACCACCAGCGGATAATTTTTTTATGAAACTAATTTGATGCATTCGCATAAGGTAATTAGGTCCATACCAGACCAAAATGTGACGGTACGGATGCTCGGACCTGACGATCTGCGACCAGTGTCTGCCACTGACAAGGCCTCACATGTTTGTTTACACAAACATATGCGACTGTTTATTTATTTAATAAAACTAGGTTGACAAACGAGCACACAGTCGTCCACCCGATGGTAAGTGGATGCTATGGCTCATAGATATCTTTATTTATCCCTTATTAAGCATAAAATGCAGATGCTTTGTCATCCCTAAGGACTAAGATGGAATGCCTTATTTGCAGTAAAAAGGTTCTCTGGTTCTCTACACTCGCCTAATACGAAACCTACTCCGGTTGAGTCAACCCATTCGCGCTACAAACATGATATAGCTACAACATGGCTCTACACAACTGATGTTACTCTACTCAGTCTCCTGACTGTAACCAAAGTTGGCAACAATTATATTCCTAAAGTTAGCAACTGACAATGACTAGGAATAGATAGGTATACCTAGTTGTTGTCATGTAAAGAAAAAAGTTTAAATAAAATAAAGACGTACAGAAAATTTTTATTCAAGTATACCTTTAAAAATAATTAATAAAAATAATTTTATTACAAAATTGTCAAATGCTGTCTTTATTTTCATTTTGGAATTTGTGTTCATACTTAACTCTTTTGTTTAAAAAAAACTTCTCAATGATAAGTACTTTTGAGTGTTTATCAAATCCTGATCATCCAGAAATGAGAAAAAATAATGTATATTAACGATTAAAATTAATATATTAACCATTTTACATTATTATGTTGAGAATGTAAAACTGCAATACAGTCTTTACACTTAAGTTTGTTTTTCAAAACTTTTACAAACCTTTAACTTGGTGTATTGCAAAACAATATCATTTTTTTTTCTTATATACATGACAAAGAAAATCACTTAATGCTAATATATTTTTAAGTGACAGAGAGAATTTGCATTATAGCAATATAATACATAATTATCTTGAATTATTTTAGATTCTATACTTTTCGAGCAAGTATATCTTTTTTACCTTTTTCTTATCTATTATTCTTCTCTTTAATTTGAATATTATTTTTAATATTTCCCTCTTCCTTGGTGCCACTTCAATATCACTGATATGTAGGCGATCTATTTGGAAGATGCAGTTCAACCTGGAATTCAAACAAATTAAATAGACAAGGAAAGTCACATAAGTTATTTCACATAACTTATGTGTCTTATGTGATGCAAGGGCAATCTTACATATAATCTAATTTAACAATATTATAATATAGAAGAATAATTTAACATTCATACTATTACTTTACCCAGGCAACTTTTAATATATGTAGTAAAATATTAATGATTTTATTATATAAATATAATACAAAATTTATGAACTATTAATTTTTGACACATCTATTTTCAGCAGAATAGGTTATAGCTTTCATTATTTGTTTCACTAGCTTTCATAGACGAATGTCAGATAATTTCAAAAATCATAATCTGAGTAGCCTTAGATACAATAAATTGGTTTTCATAAAATTGAAAACTCATCATGAACACACTATCATTATTGTTTAATTTGACAAATAGGTAATCTGAATGATTTGAAAAGGCTTTTGCTTTTTCTTACCTGCCCTATATAGTATATTATATATGTCCTTACCCAATAAAATTAATTATTCGCTGTACAAATATAACTTACTAGGTTCACTTTGTTTGATTGAAATCGACATCAAAAACGTATCATGTACTGATTTAAAAAAATCCAATGTCCAGTTATAGAAATTATAGGAAAACGGTAAAAGATTCTGAAAGGAAGTCTAGAGCAAACAGCGACGAAATTGACAAGCCCATTTGATTTGCCTTTGACGCGATCGATGTTTTTCTTCGAATAAAACACAAAATAAAAAAAACCACAAATACGGGTTTTTTTAAATCTTTTATATACAATGATATTTTATATATAATGAGCCAAAGCGCATAGCGTTATGGCGATAGCAGTGCATATTTCGGCGTATATTCTCGACAAGCGCGTGAACTAAACTGTGAACGATAGCGAATGTGGAGGGGTATGTTTTTCCCGACGACTTTGTGGCAAAATTACGGCGTGAATTCACGCCGTGAATCACACAGGAGTCTCGAGCCCGCTTTACACCATACGGCCTTATATTATTTTTTCAAAATTCTCCACAATATGCTTATGGGTCACATTGCAAAGTTCTTTGGAGCTATTGACGACAGTTTAACTTAGTGGACGATTGATGATGAAGATTTATATCAACATTAAAGCACGCACATACGCAGATATTTAATACACAAAATCGCACTGCTTTTACGTATCAAAATCCACTTGTAACCTACAGCCCTACACAAGTCCGCTGCTGAACATAGGTCTCCCCAAAGGGGTGCCACAAAACATGGTTCTGACCTATCTGCATCCATCGATTTCGATCGACTTCCTGCATGTCTTACCAGGTCATCACTCTATCTATTAAGGTTTCGCCCTGTACTTCACCCACCGGTAGGTATCTAAGAATTATAATTTCTACAAACTGCAATCCAAGTCTGCCACTTAAGAGGATCTCTTGGAAATATGTAAAATCAATAAAGGGTACTAACTTTGATTTATTTAAGGATCGCAAGCAGAAAGTAAAGATAGGTGAATACTTAAGCGATGAATCTAGGATATAACATTTGGAGTTCCACAGGGTAGTGCCCTGGGTCCTACTTTATTTTTAATCTACATAAATAATCTAACCAACATGCACGTTAACAAGAGCAATATAATCTCCTAT